GTGCTAATGAACGCACCCCTTGTTGCACTTTGCGCTCATCTTCACTGATTTAACTGGATTTTGTGTATATAAATATCAAAGAAAGTTGAATCTTTGCTTTTCCTTCTTGCTTCTGTGGTATCTCAGGTACTTCAGCATTCTCTGCATATAGTGCTTTGAAAATGCAATGTGCCTTTGAGTACTATTTTTTTAATGATGAGCCATATTATAGCAAATTTTCTTAGCCTCAACCTGTTTAGCTATTTTGCTCCTTCAGTCATAGCCTTTGAACAATACTTCATAAACCTACTGCTGACTTCTGTCCATCTTCAACAAAGAATGGTCTAGTGCTCTTGTCTTCTTACTTGTTATCTTTAATGACAAAGCAGTGAAAGCATGTTGGGATTTCTTTCTGACCTGAATAGCACATGCTCAAGGTGATGGTATCTTTTGTGTATTATTTTACCTGCTTGAGATAGAAGCAATTGCACGGATATCAATGGTGCAGAGCCAGAGCAACTAACAGGGGACTCATGTCAAAGCCAGACTTACGTATTTTTGGAAGAGAGGAAGAATAGTTCTTAGTACAGCACCACCCAAAACAACATGCAGAGCCAAGAGTGATGGCTGCACAAAGTGTGATGTGGGCAGGTACAATTCATGCACTCTCGTTAATCACCCACTTTGAAGAAGATTGACTTATATTGGTATTTTTAAAGAGTCTACTTTGTTCAATGTAACTACTGAAGACTCTTCAGAAATAAACGCTGAGCGCTTTCGTTATTATTTAAGGATAATTTGCAGAGATGGCTGAAAATTGTATGTATTTGGACTGGCTGATTTTCTGCTTGGGTGCATCCTGAAGGAGTATTACCCTTCTCTCTTTAAATTGTCCGCAAAGCTCAAAGAATCAGTTCAGATCCCCCTGTGGCCTTTGCTTTCCTGCGAGTTGCTGTGTTTTTTACAGGGGGCTGTTTCTAGGCCCGCTGTGAATGTCCTGAAATTCAGAGAGATTCAAATCAGTGCCATGATCTGAACAGATCCTCGCTGTTACGTTTAATTAACTTGGGACATTCTAGGCTTTCTCTCCAAGCGCTGGCCTTCCTTTCTCCCATGGCTACTGTGAAATCCTGCAGTGAACCTTGTTGTTATGACCTGATTTTCTACAAACTGAGAGATGTAATTTGTTCAGGTGCCAGGTAAAGGGAACAGAAACTTGGAATTCTCCTGGTTGCTCTAATTTAGCTGCCTGAGATTTGAAAAATCAATAGGAGGATTATCTACTGTCTTTAGATTATGATTTAATAATTAAAACAATTAAAAGGATGACATCAGTTTATTTGGCAAAACTGTGGCTTTTACTGTGGATCCACCCCAGAACATGTGTCCTGCACAGTTGAGATAGTGGAGCTGAGATTGATTCATCTTGCTAGGGAAACCCACTGAATGTGCATTAAATGACATATTTAAATTAAGTATTTAATTGACAGATGAGCAAAATACAGAATGAACAACTGCCTTGATGGAATCAGCTGGTCTTAAGACATTGTGCCACGAGGAACCATGCATTTTGAACAACTAAATGTTAAGGAAAATCCAAGGTACTTTATTTTGAAAGAGGGAGGCTCTCAGAGACCTTCCTATTTTAGTGTGTTTTGAGGACCCCAAGCATGTGATACTGACATGCTTTATTCCTTGGCTGATTGCCTAACTAGCATGTTGTAATTCAACCCAAGTGCTGTTTTTGAGTGAACAACAGCCCTTCTTGACATTCCTGACATTCCCAACATTCCTGTGACAAAATAATCATCTATGAAATTAATCTTTTTCATGCTACTTTTTTCCTCAACCTTCCACCAGTTAATTGTTAACTAGTAAAATCTCTGCCAGTCCACACAAAAGACAGCTTAAACGACTTGGTGTAACACTTCAGAGGTGCCCAAACAGCTTACAGATTTATTTCCTTGTGTTTTGTCTGGACAATTCCATTCCTTTACGATGGCCCACCTTTGTTCAGATCAATGTGCTGATGAGAATGTTCCACTAGGACTGCTAAAGATTTAACTATGGTTACTTCCGTTTCATACTGAAAGACCTAAATGAAAAGTTTACACATGTTCAGCTTGGTTTTTCTAACAGGAAATAGGAACAAACTATCAGTTAATGAAATGGAGTATCTCAATTTATGCTCCCTAGTGAAGATGTTGCCAAAGTTGTATAATACTCCAGTGTTTTCAAGGAAACCCAGTTATGGACTGCCTTGGTAAGAGTACCTGGCAGCAGCACTGCTCAGCCCATGTGTTTCCATAGCTCTGGTTACTACACACATGATTATAAACAGACCAAACTTTGCCCTCTTATCTGCATCTATACCTCTCCTAGAAACGGGAAAGAACCTAATTCGTGAGCAGTATTTGACCCCTGGAGAACTACACGCATCTGCTGAAGGCTATTTCGCCACATAAAAACACTTTTCAGCAAAATGATTTAGCATGTGTTTAATTTTAATGATTTGGCTTAAGTGTCTTTTTGAGTGCTTTATCAAGCTACTATCAAGCTACTATCAAGCAGCAATCATCAGCTGCTTAATAAATATTGGATTAAAGTCTGTAAAGGGAACACATGTATCAGAAAGACCAAAAGGAAAGAACATTGCCAGACACTAATCTTTCCTCTTCACAGTGCGCTATTGTGTTCTTTGGGATGAAGAACATTTTTCAATGATGCTGGAAACAATATTATTTTTGACAACAGAAAAGTGTAACAGGGATGGTAATTCTGTCAGCTTTCTGGACTTACACAGTGAAACCTCCACAGAATTCAATGCCGCTGGACAAAACCATGAAAAGAAAACTATTTGCCCTAAAAGCTCATTAATATTAGTTGAAATTCAGCCATAGTTTTGGGTATGTGCTGAGAAGTCTGGGCTTTGAATTGGTGGGCGTTTGACATGCCAGGATATTAGCAGAATGAATGTTCACTAATGCATAGCAATAAATAGGTTGGATTTTTAAAATTATCACAACAGAAGTAGAGACGATAACAAAAACTTAGGGTTTTGAAAGCATTGACACGTGTTAATATATTGGTTCATTACAAACAACTTCAAATGGTTGTTTTCCAGTGTGCAATTAAAAAACCCTCCCGTGGTAAGGAAATTCCTCTGGCACAGCTCCAACTACAGTAAGTGCTACCAGTAGTGTCCTGTTGATTTACATAGCTTTAATATGCTGAATAGCCCTTATGGGCTTAATTTCCATCACACTGGGCCTCTGGGTTTGCTTCCTCTCCATGGCCAGAATCTTCCTTGGTCCCCATACCCACTGCTTGGGTGTGGGGTCTGTCTGGTAGCCCTTGAGATCTCAGCACTTGGATACTTTCAACGCCCAGGAGCAATTCTCACAGATTTTTCAATGAAATCCAGCGTTTTCAAGCTACTCAGCAAAATCTAAGCAAACACACAGATTTGAAAAATATAGCACCAGGCTTTGACACCTCCTTTGTGTAAGTTTTGAGCGATACATAACATAGTCCTAACAGCGATCGCTGACTCCATATCCACCGGGACCATGATTTATCAGTTTCATAACCTCAGCCACAATTCATATGATGTACCACAAGGATCCCTGAGCAGTATTCAACAGATTCATTTTCCTTTCATCCTCACAACCCCCCCCCCCCCCTCTTTCTTCTTTTTTCTCAC